AGCACTAATTCTTTCCGGAATTCAGAAATGCTGATTTTCTGCTTCGTAATATCTTCCATAAATCGGCTATGAATCCATTTCGATAAAATCTTATCTTATTGGTCAAGTGGTAAAGAAAACAAAACAGGCTTGGCGCATAACATGTTGGATGAATTCCTATAGGAATCGCATTCCAAACATAAACTACCTTCTACTGCAAAAAGTATCACTGGCCCTACAATACCAGCACTTTTAAGCGGTGCTGTGTGTCCTGAATGGGATTGCCTAAGAAATATGTGTGGTGCTCAACATGTTAAACGCTGATAATACTTTGAAATCTCATTTCCTCACATATCCCAAGTGTACATGCAGTGTCTGTTTATCTTTACACAGCCGTTTTATGCAATAAGTGTATGAGGTAGTATATTCCAAGATTTTTTAAACCATATACTCCAAGTCTAACTGATTTGTTTACTCGTGTACAGTTTGCCCATTTATTAAAAGTTATCTGTGTAATAAATTTGGCTCTACTCTCTTTTGTGATATCACACTTTAAATGACCACAGTGTTTTATGATTACAACTGTTATCAATATTAATGTTAACTGAAAAAAAAAAAAACTGAAAGTCCTGTGATAACTTTTACCACTGTGTGCGAGAGAGGAAAAATCACTTGTTTATTTATTTTTGTGCAGCTCAAAATTCAATACTTTATGTGATTATGGAATCAAATATTTTTTCTTGTTTTATATATAACCGTCACATAATTTATCAGAAATATAAATTGAAGTGTTACTGAGTTGTTTGTCCTCATACCAGATTTGTTTAGTTTTCTACATACTTACTCCAGATGTTGGATCTAGAAGTTGTACAGTTATCCCTTCAATTTACACAATACAAATTTACAGGTACCTACATGCACAAAAGCCTAACCATTCAAACTGGAACTTATTAATTAGAAATAAGGACTCCTCCAATTAGAAAACTTTTCTGACTCTCAATTCTTGCTTCAAACTATGTTCTCATAGTTAATTTATAAAATTATATTTTGGATTGAGTCGTAGCTAGGGTTTTCAGCGCCCAGGGACAACTGAAAATTTCGTGCCCTATACTGCTTGCCAAGGATGGAAAACATTTAATTCTAAAATGTCGTAACATCAGTTTGGCGCCCCTTGGATTCTGCGCCCGGGGACAGATGCTCCCCCTTGCCCCCCTCTAGCTACGCCTCTGGATTGAGTATTAATTGTACTTATGGTTTGAATCTAGCATTGATGGTAGTTTGGTTTATCCCCTTGATAAGTCGATTAATCTGCACTCAATGACAATAGCTGCTTATTCAATATTTAAAATTTACTTTTGGTTTTGGATTTTCGCGATTTAAGATTTTCTTAGCCGATTTATAAACAATAGTTGAAATTACTATTTAAAATGCTAATTACATTCTAAAAAATGTTTTCTTTCATGGTTTTGAATTTAATTTGTGTTCCTTTGAGATGGTATATGGAAAGATTTCCTATTATAAACTAATATAAATATAATAACTATTGCAGTTTCTCATGAAGTCATGCTTAAGTAATTTAAGTATTTTCTTGCATAAAATTCAAGTTACGTAGACATTTACAGAATGCATTATTTAATGTAACTTCAGTGAATGTATGTATGATTTCTCGTAAAATGTTGAACACTGGCTTTTCTAATTCCTTACTTTGCTAGAATCCAGATATATTTGCAAAAAAGTAGATCACGGTAATTTTGATCATGGCACATTTTAGGAAACATGTAAGAATTTTAAATTTACACGTGGGTCCTTAGCAAAGAAAAAACAAAGAGTTTACCTCATGCTACTAAAAGTATGTTTTTTTTGGGGGGAGTAAAGTTTATAATATGTAGAGTTGACATTTAAAAAAATCTCAAGTATCATATGATGTAGCATTAAAAGCATCAATCTTAACAATTTAGTTTGGGCTTTTTTAAAGATATTTTAAATGTTTTGTTTTTACAGTGCGCTTTCCTAACACAAAGGTAACTTTAGGAAAAATTTGCAATTTATCATAACCCACAGGTATTTACTTTCTGAAAATAATTTAAGTCTGTAGTGTAGAATTGGTGCTCCTTCGATTGGAGACAACTTTTGTTCCATTTTGGTGATGAAACCCCATTTCTGGTTACCATGATACTTTTAACTGTTTTAGCTTCCTGATTTTTTTTAAAGTGAAAATAAATCGATGTATACATGGACAAAAATAAGGCACTGCGTAATGCCTAGTTTGTGCAATTCTCTGATGATTTTTTAAGTGAAAATAGATTGATATGTACATGGACACCGAATTTATGCAATTCTTTGACTTCTTATTTTGGTTTTGTGTAGCGGCCATCTTGAAATGTTCCATTCCTAGCGCCGACTTTTGCGTCAAAAAAAGAATCGCCAAAAAACAAGGGGCACCCAATTATAAACTTTTACCAAATTTAAAATAATCTTTACCTATAATAAAAGGATGAGTCTGTCTGTGTGTCTCGTGCATATTCACAAAGCCTACAGACCATTTCCCTACGGTCTGCTCTCATTGGATGAAACGTCTGTTTGGCGGTCATATTTGGAATGGCGAGTTATTGCCTTGTAGGCGTGGTTATTAACGCCAAGCAAACGGAAACAGCGTTAATTTCATTCGATATTTTTTAGTTTATGAATGAAAGCTTGGAAGAATTGTGTGGAATATATTTTAAATAACTTACTGATCTTATTAATAGTTTATTTGTATTTGAATTTAAACTTACGTAAAAAGTACGTAATTGTTTTACAAGAAAAAAGGTGCTTACATGGAGATAGCATATGCACTTTTTCATCATTTCTGTTAGAAAGAGTCTGATGTGTAAATTTCCATAGCGCATTCATTTATACAAATAAAATAAACCAAATGAAGATATTCAGTAAACATTTAAGGGCGTCTGATATCTATTCTTTTTTACCTAAATTAAGTATAACTAAAACTATATTTTATTCCATTCTGCGCTATTTCTATTGAAACGCTTTTCGGGATCTTGGATCGTAATCTTGCTACTGGTATCTACTACAGAGTACAAACCCGTAAATAAAAATAAGAAAAATTAACAAAAATAGAGAAAATAAATTCGTTTAATTTTTAACACCGCACCCGAAGGCGAAAAGACAAATAATGACAAAGTCATTCAATAAAGTTAAAATAAATATGTGTAGAGTAGAATTTATGAAAGCTAAGAACAGGCGATCTGGAGGTCTGAGAATTTTTTCCGCGCTCGTTACCACTGAGCTGTGGTTTCTCTGGTGGGTTATGCCAGTGCCTCCTAGATATAAAGCCGTCGGACTGGTCTGTGACGTCACGAGCACTAGGCCGTATAATATGAAACGGCGGAACTTCCGATAGCGATTTCCCCGTGCATACGAGTATGAATTTGCGTTAAATAATGAACTCTCAGAATAATCCAGAAACTATATTTCCGCAATAAAAAATTTATTTTACTATCGGAATATCTTTGAACATTACAATGCAAGAGCAATAAAACTCATTAAAGATGAATTAAAATTTCATATGTAATGTAATAAGATTTGATACTTAGTCCAGCAAAACTTGATCTTGAATATCGAATTTGGCTTTATAAAACGATTAGTAGATGCTGAATTTTCAAATCATTCAATTAAAAATTTTTCAAAATTCAATAAAAATTAGTTCTGAAAACCAAAACTCTCAATATCAATATCTAAAAAATTCTGATATGTTGTTTTCATAATTCATCATAATATCATGTTTTTTAATCATATTCCTTGAAAATCAGAATTTAAAATTTCATCAAGGAAAATTTACATTTATTAGTCTTAAATATACTCTCAAATGTGTGGAAATTATAACATATATATATATATATATATGATATAATTAAATACTCTGGCTATGTTAAGAAAGGATTGGTGGACAGACTTCTTGATTTTCAAGTAGAGGATCATAAGGCAATTTTCCATACATTAAATAAGATTGCGGGAATTTTGCAACACAATGAGGTGTATTATTACATTATTCAGTAACTTGAGGTAACAATTTTGTCCATGCAATATTAGCCTGATAAGAATTTAATTTACAGTTTAATTATATTTGTTTGAGTAACTCGTTCAACTTTACCATTAGTTTGAGGCCCGTTAGTAGTTAATAATTGTTTTACATTATGATTTCTTAAAAAGTGCTTAAATTTGGAAGAAGCAGCATTTCTATCACTTAAAATTTTCTTTGGTACTTGAATTTGAAAAAATTTGTCTTAAACTATTTATGTAACTATCTGTAGTTACACTTTTAGAAGCAAAAAATCCATATTTAATGAGTAGCATGATCAATAATTAAGTGAATATACATTTTAATATAATTATAATAGTTTAAACCACCAACAGTATCAATAGATAATAATTCAAAAGGTTCACATTAAACCAAATCTCTTTTGTTTACTTTTCTTATTAAACTGACATACTTCGCAATGTTTACAAAAAAATTTTAGCATTTTGGACAGACAATTCCTGACCAATAATATTGACAAGATTAATATGAGCCTTTTAAAGTAATTTAGTACAAAGAGAGATTGCTATTATGATTTTGTATAATCCTTGCTTTTTAATAGTTAACACATCATTAATTTCTTTATACTTAGGATTATATTCATTATCTAAATTTTGATGCTCTTTAATTTCTTCTAATGAAAATAAATTAACTTCCAAACTTAAATGTTGACAAATAGGATTTCTAGTTAACATATCAGCTTCAATATTAGTAGAACTATTTTCATATTTTATATCAAAATCATGCATAGATAATTTTAAAGACCATCTAAATAACCTACCTGTAAGATCTTTAATGTTCTTAAGCCAAACTAAAGCAGCGTGATCAGTGTGTACAGTAAAATAATTACTGAGTAAGTAATTAATAAAATTTATCTGCATCACCAATACAAAACATTCTAATTCAGTAATTGCATAATTTTGCTCATAAGACCTTAATTTTCTAGAATGAAAAACCAATTTGGATGTAGGTTCCCATCCTGGTGCTTCCAACAGCTTCTTCAGATGCATCTACAAACACATAATTACATATGTAAGATATAATAAAATATGATGGCTATGTTAAGAAATAATTGGCGACCTTAAAATTGACTATCCTAAATTTTATTTTCTCCCCCCTCCCCAAGTTCATCTGTTCTCCCAAATTCAAGATCTTTCCAAATTATTCAATTATATTTCCGAATTTCTGGGTTTACGCATCCATATTTCTAACCCTGTGATTAAAATATCATGCATGTAAATATATACACATAGTACCTACTAAGTTTTCTCATCGTACAAACTTCTAATATATCACATATATATAATAATATACAAAGATTACTTAAAAGTAACATCCAAGCATACAGTTTATATTTTAAATGAAAAAATATTTTGATGTGAAAAACATTAACATAAATCTAAATTAATTGCTGGTATGTAATGGACAACTATTGCTGTTACCTATATAAAATAATACAGTACAACAAATGAAGTCTTTAAAATTATTTATTTATATAACATATTTAAATACAATTCCATAATTTTTTAATATTTTAATACAGAAACAAGAAATTAAATTACAAAAATAATAAAATTACACATATATTTACTAATGCATGTTTAGAGAGCAATTAAAATTAAAAAAGTTGAAATGCACTAAAATTATTTTCAAGGCCAAAAAATTATATTGGTACATTTCTAATATATTCTTTGTTTGTTATGCTTACATAGCAAAGTGTTTTTAGTTTTCTTTTATCTGAATATTTAGAAAAGCTATCATTTTTGAATTTACAATAATTGTTTAAAAGAGTATTTGTGCATGAGTATATAAGCAGTTGCATAATTTTACGTGACAAATGGTTTTTACAGGAAATAATTTTAATTTCCTTACACATAAGAATTTCTAATGTCATAGTGGATATTAAATTACGTTGGTTACATACTTGGAGGAAACTATTTTCATATTCAGGGCTTATGAGCTTCTGTATGACAATAAAATTATGCAGTATTACATTAATGACATCAGCAGATGGGTACTTTAACCCACCTCTATCACAATTATGAATATGTTTGAAATTGGGAGGAATTATTAGTGGTTTTTCAATAACTAAATTACCTCCACAGTCATCACATTTTAGCCTATTCATAACTGAGTGGCAACAATATCCAGCCAAGTATGCAATTAAAGGTAATTTATCAACCATAGTTTCAAGATCATTATCTGTGACATTAATATGCTTGAAATTATGAAAATATTTTACAATAGATTCATGGGAACTATCATTAATCAAATCAAAAGAGTTAGAAAAAGTCATCGATAACAATTGTCCCTTTACTTTTCGATATCATAGTTAGATTTAATACAGAACATGCACGTAGTTTGTTTTCTACTTCAAAAACCTGTCGAAGTGATATATGATAATTTGTTCCAGCCATCCTGCGATATAAACTAAAACGATGTTCCAATTCATCTGTCTGAATTTTACCGGGCAAAAAATACGACATGTTGAGTTCACCTAGACAATACCTACACATTTCTATCATACACGTTGTTGTTAATATAAGAGCAGAAAGTGTCTCTTTTGTCAACCTACCCGTATCACTCTTCATTTCTTTCCATTTCATCAACCAATCAAGAAAATTATTTAAAAATACAAACTTCTTGTCTGATTCATTCCATACTAATGGTTTACAGAAGTCATCACAAGAATGTACCCCCTTGTTTGGTGTTTTAACATTCATTATTGAAAACCACGACGAAAATATTTTAATATATGCAGATGTTTCGTGAAAATTTAACAAATTATGCTTTACTCCTAATTCTTTCAGGCCTTGTGATGTTTGATCGTTGAAAATTTGTAAAGCCAGTTTCACACTTTGACGTTCTAAATTTGTAGGCCACAGAGCTTTACGAGATATTGTATATCCATATTTTAACAAATTACCACTTTCAGCTTCATACATATTTTTTAAAGTAAGAAATGAAGAGGTACATACATTATTTGAAGACAAGTCAAAATTTGGAAAATACATAGCTTGTTCAGGGTTTTTCTGGTTTAACCAGTTGTTACGAACACTTTTAATAATATGAACAGAATCAACTGCATAAAACAATGGACGAGTTGCATCAACAGGATGAGGAAATACAAAATTTGATAATGGATTATTAAACAGAGATATACATCTTCTATTAATGGAATTATTGTCACTAACAACAACAATTACTTTGAAACCTATTGCTTCAAGACCAACAATTATTTTTTTCAAAACAGTGAACAAAACTTCAGCTGTCATTTTCTTCGATGGTAATATATGGACAACATCTTTAAAGCAGCACAAAATACTCTGTATCATAAATACATGTGCACTAGAAGCTAAGTTATCAACTTCCTGGCCAATTCCAACAATATCTCCACTTTTGTAGTCAAGAAAAGGTCTGATGTGAATTTCATCCATCATTAATGAAACATAATTCATGCTCTTTCAGATAGCAAGCTTTTTGCTTAGCATATGCCAAAAACAACATATCATCTGTTTCCTTTTGGGGATTTACATTTAATTTAGAACTTATTTTATGTATAGTACTTGGATGAGGCAAAATTAAATTACCAGATTGTCGGACAAATTTATATGCTTGGGGCGATAACAAATAAAACATAGAAGCTAAAATTAAGGTATTGGATGAATATTGACGATTTTGGGGCTTACATTTTACAAGAGAAAGTTGTTCAATCATGAACTCAAATAAAATTTTATCACCTTCATTTGTGAAACTTAAAGATTTCATCAGGTTGATTATAATTTTCAATCGAATTCATTAAGTCTTTAGTTTCTAACATTTCAATATGATCAAGTATTTCATGAATTTCATTAATATTACTTACTTTTATAGGTAACTCATTATACTTACTACTGATATGAGTCAATAACTTATTTTGAAACGATACAGATAATAAAAGATCTGCAGTAATGTGGACTGCATAAAGCAATTTTACACATCCATCAGTGCATTTTAAATTCAAAAACATCAAGATATTGTCTTTGTGCACAACGTTCCAAAATGTAGAAAATTTATATTGCATACAACAGGTTAAAAGTTCATTAAAGTCTGAAAATGTCCTCGATTTATAATACTCAGCAGCTGATAATTTACTATGAGCAATAGCTTTCATCATGAGGTTTGCTTCTCGTTCCATTTTTTTTCTCATTCGGACTTTTTCTCGAACTACCAGCTTGTGAAGATAAATACGATGGACAGCCATCAAATATGCTAGGAAAAGCGCCTTCTTTTAGTTTTGGTCTCTGCAGTGAAGCTTTAATGATTTTCCCATTTTTTTCATCGAAAGCTGATGTTTCCCAGATGAGGTCATCAGGTTGAAAATGTTTATGGCACACCTATTAAGTAAAAGGAAGACATCATGTAACTAACTTCTTAAAACAACCAACTGTAAAGCAAGATTGAATCACTTTCCTTATAAATAAAAACATTCAAGCTTTGGCAATGCTTTGGGCAGGTTAAATTTTAAATGCATATATGCAAATTAAAATTTTTTTTTCAAATATTTAAGGATCAGTTAACACTACATATAAAAAATCTGATCATGACAGCATACGACCTCCTGCCTATTCTATGGCTTATACAGCAACGAGCTTCGAAGTATCATTTAGCCCTTGATTGTTTGTAAATTAAATGTAATTTGTTGATTCATCAAATAGAAAACTATACACTGAAACCTATTTATACATGTTGGCGGGAGGTAAAAATTATAGCTTGCAGAAAGTTTCCATAGCAGACTAAGAATATTCTACCAACAATTTATTGAATCTTAATAAATTAATTAGGATTACACCTACCCGAGAATATGGAGTTGCTGAGAAGTCCTTCCTAGGTATATTTCTTAGCCACCTCTCTCTAAGAGCATCATTTTTGGGAAAGGAAAATGTATGCACCTTTTCAGTACCTTTATAATTTCCCCGACAACCAGTTACACAGCATTTAAATGGCATATTTTCTGTAAAAACAGTACAAAAATCAGTTTATATAAATACTAAATGTTATAACAATTTAAATTTGCATAATTATACATTGAAATTCGATACACCATAAACCAACGGTGGAGAATTTCAAATGTCATTCAAACATTTGAATAAATGAGACTTCAAGAAATTCGTATCTGAAGAACACCTAAGCTTCTATTAAGATATCTATTATTATACTGAAATTATTACTTGCATCAATGATGATAATTTTGATATTTAAAACATGCTGAAACAGTCAAATGAAAATAATATCAAACTTCAGGCGAATCATGTTTAGAATATTTAGAATATTGAACAGTAAAATATATACGTGAAATCTGAAGAAAGACTTTGTTTGGTAAACTAAACACTATTTATGGAATGTTAAGATGAATTTACTGCTTTAATATTTAAATACATTGTATGCAAATACACAGTATAAATTTAGAAACCACATAAAATACATCTTTCAATAGTGATAAGTTAATACATAATTAAACTCACAATAAAACAAACGTTTTTACTAGACTGTTCTTCAAATACTGAACGCTTTGATCACATAACTTTAAAAGTTTGCCATTCTCACTTATACTTACACTCATTATACAATGCACTCACATATTAGCTATTATATTTATTCTACACACTCACATATTAGCGTACATACGTTTGTTAACTGATATACGTAATTATTAATTTAACTAGATTTATTGTATAGGTTTACTTTCAATTACATTTTTAAAAACTGTTAAGCTTTGTATAAATGATTAGGTTAAAAATTCGTAAAACAGTAATGAAATAATAAAAAAAACTTTTATAAAAGAAAATACGTAACATTAGATACTGCACACATAAAATTAAAACTTCGGTGATGCACTTAAACAAAATATATTAAGTAAATTCAGAAATAAGATTAATAATAATAATAATGGCTAATCAATACGGAGATAAACATAATAAGTATACGTGTGTTACTAATAATTAAGCAATTAATACTTGTAATAGCAAGCGTTTATTTCAATGAACAAAATATAAAGTTACATTTCAATAAATACGAACTTACCAAGTATTTCTTCTCCCCGACAGCACGTGCTAACATTCCAGTCTATGTACACCGCAAAGCAATGGCTTCCCAAACCTCGAGAACATCACGTGGGCCTACTAACTTTGACGTCACACTTGTTTCTACAACCTGTCCATTGGCTTTATAATCTAGGAGGCACTGGTTATGCACAACTTTTGGTACACCACGCTGAAATACAAATTGTACAGGCGATGAATCAAAAGTCGCCAAGCACTAGGTTCTGTAACCCTACGTTTCCAGTTTTAACCAATCGGAGCAAACAGCAGTAGAACGGTCTGTAGGCTTTGTGAATAAGCGTGTCTCGTTCGTGGTGCGCCCAAGCTAATAGACCCAGGGCTACGATATTTGGTACATAGGTGCATATAGACAACAGCCAGTGCACCTCGAAGCGATTTTATTTAAAATTTGAATGAGATTTTTATTTTTTAAATTTTATGTTCTTTAATGAAATCCCATCATTTTGAGACATAATATACACGAACAATGGCATATCAAGCATGAATATACAAGGCCAACTAGATATCTACAGGCCTGCTCCAATCTGATGATCACATGATCTGACGTCATAATCTTAGTCCTTCAATTTTGTAAGTTGACATTGCTTCGTCGTAGGACTAGTGCTAGTTATAAAATTATGAGGGTACACTTTTAATTTTTAGAAACTATTTATTTACAATCTTAGAATGTATAATCACAGAGAACTGCAATACCAGCATAGTTCTATTTTTCAATCCCTCTCCAAAGTGTTGCCAATTACAAGTTACTAAATATTAAATGTTACCATTTACAAATTATTAAATATTACATCTTCCGTTTTTTTAAAAAGTTCAAAAGTTTTAACAGTCTAAAATCAGTCCAAATACCTGGCCGGCTTTCTAATCAGTCTCCCACTTCTAGTTCTTAGCTCACCGTTCCTTGTTTCTGAGTTAGCAGAGTTTGGTAGTTGATCTTCTAAACTTTGCCCTTGAGAATATCTGGAATCATATCCTTTTACATCTGTTTTCTGTGTATTAACTCCTTGTTCTGTTCCTCTGATATTCTCATCAACAGCTAAACTGTTTCCTCTAATATCTTTTCTATTTCTTCTCAATACTGATCCACCTGATCTAAGTATATATGATCTAGGCGTCTTATGCACTTCTTCTACAACTGCTGGTTTCCAGCGATTATCTTGATATACCCGAACACAATCTCCTTTATTTAGCGATGGTAATGTTTTTGTATGACGATCATAATATGACTTCTGTTTAGTTCTTTCTTGGTTGATTTTTTCTTTTACATTTCTCACAACTTGAGGTTTAAGTAATTCTTCAGATGTAGGAAGAATCGTTCTTGTTCTTCTACTCATAAGTCGTTGAGCTGGTGATCCTAGCATCTCATTAGTTGGAGTGTTCCTATGAGCTAACAATGCTAAATAAGGATCAGCATGATCTGCTTGAGCTTTCTTTAACAATTTCTTCGCCGTTTGTACTGAACGCTCTGCTAATCCGTTCGACTGTGGATGGTATGGGACTGCTTGTTATATGTTTAAATTGGTATTTCTTTTCAAATTCTGAAAATTCTTTACTTGCAAACTGAGGTCCATTATCAGATATCACTATCAATGGTATACCGTATCTTGCAAAATGAGATTTCATGTAACTGATCACTGTCTGACTTCGAGTATCCGGTAGTTTGGCAGATTTCAAAAAAGTTGGAATAGTAATCTACAATTAATAAATATACATCTTTGTTAATCTCAAATAAATCTGTCGCAACTTTATACCAAGGTAAATTGGGAATTTCATGTGGTATCATAGGCTCTCTTATGTTTTTGTTCTGGTATTCATTACATATAGAACATTTTGAAATTTTATCTTCTATCTGCTTGTTCATAAATGGCCAAAACAAAACATCTCTAGCTCTTTTCTTACATTTTTCTATACCAAAATGACCCTCATGAATTAAATTTAACATTTCCTTTTGCATAGATAAAGGAATAATTACCCTTCCTCCTTTGAAAAATAAATCATTTTCCATTGTCAACTCATCTCTGTAGTCCCAAAATACTTTGACTTGAGGTTCTACCTGATGTTTCCTTTCTGGCCAGCCTCTCAGAATATATTTCTTTAAGCACTGTAGTGTAGCATCACATTCACTTTCTTTCTTTTAATTCATAAATTTTGTCATCAGATGCTGGAATCAGTGTACAAATTTCTGTATCTTCATCATTATCTTCTTCTGTTGTATTCAAATATGCTCTACTCAAAGTGTCTGCTATTAATAAGTGTTTCCCCTTTTTGTATCGTACATCTAGATCATATTTCTGTAAATTTAACAGCATTCTTTGCAATCGCTGTGGTGCTTTAAAAAG